GGGGAGCCAGTGCGGTGTAAATGGTCTTTGGTGCTCTGGGGCTTCATCTCTGTTATAGGGAAAAGTAGCATTCCTCTCTCTCCTCCATACACTCTCTCTAGGGCAAGTGTTTTCACTTCATGTTTTCCCCCCCCCTCCACCACCGATGTCTCCTTATACCTTCCATGTAACCCTGTGCTCTTCTCCCCACCCCATGGTGTCTCATATCCTTCATCATTGTTGTGAGAAATGCAGAATAGTGTGGGGGTGAGATGCATTAAGTGTGAAAGATGAAGCATTAACCCAACAATATGTCTTGCAACTTCTAGAAACGACTTTTCTTTTTGTTTTTTAGGTAGCCATGGTGGAAGTGCAACTTGAGACAAACCGTGACATATACCCACAAGGTCTCCTGATAGCCTTCAGTGCCTGCACTACTGTGCTAGTTGCAGTACACCTTTTTGCTCTCATGATAAGTACTTGTATTCTCCCACATATAGAGGCTGTAAGCAATGTTCACAATCTAAATTCTGTTCATGAGTCACCTCATGAGCGTATGCACAGGCATATTGAACTTGCATGGGCTTTCTCTACAGTCATTGGCACCTTGCTTTTTCTCGCAGAGGTTGTACTACTCTGTTGGGTTAAATTTCTTCCATTAAATCATCCTGTGGTTAAAAATGAACAAAATAATGCATCAATAACATCTGGACAAGCTGCAGCTATTACATCCACAACTATTATGGTACCATTTGGAATAATTTTTATTATATTTGCAGTTCACTTCTATCGGTCATTGGTAAGCCACAAAACAGAGAGAGTTGAAAGAGAATTGGACGTTCTTGCACAACTGCAGGATCAGCTGGACCGAGGAGAGACACACACTGCACCATACTAGTTCTCATTTTGGATAAGACTGACTGTAAACTGTGGGGAAATAGCTTTTGTATTGTACAGTTTACAGCACTCGGTGCACCGAGTGACTTAACTGAAGTACAAAGAACAATCTAACTATCTATTAATACTATTGGATATTTTGGGACAATGACCAGTACAGTTTTTTTGCTCGAGATTTAAATTCGTGCCATAAAATGGCAAAGTGCATGTATTTACTTTGGATTTGTACAGGATTTAATTGGATTGTTTAAGTTTTCATCATTAAAGAGATTGTTCTACACAGGATTGGGTGTCTTAATAGGATAACTGACCTAACCCACAATTTTATTCCTCCATTATTTCATTGAAATTAAATTAAAGGTTGTGCACTGCTGCTGATTTAACTAAACGTTAACTGTCACTTAACTGTGGAATTAACTAGGAGTGCTTTGTGATAGGACTTTTCATTCTAGTCGATTAGTAAAATTGTGGTCAAGTTGTCTTGCCCAACTGACTGCCTCTTGTATGAATGTTGTTTGTCCCTTCATTGGTTGATTTCTTCTCACCATGTTATCATCCAAACTATTAAATGTGCTTCTTGTTTCTGCACCTTTTTTCATCCACTCAAATGGCACCGAAGGAGGTCTTCCAAACCATTGTGCTGTTGATTACTTGAAAAAGTTATCCATCCTCTTTTTCTCCATAAACTGAAAATGTTTCCTTTGCAAGAATTTGTAATCCCTTTTGAAAATTAGCAATGAATCTGTTTCCACCGTGATTTCAGTTAGTGCAGATTAATTTCCTGCATTTATATATTTAAATTATTTTCCTCCAGTCTTAGTTTTTTTTTGTCAATTACCATGAATCTGTGTACTCTTACTGACCTTTCGGTAATAATTAGCCTGTCTACTTATACCAAACTTTATCATTTTGAACACCTCTATTAATCTCTCTGTTAACCTACTCCAGTTATATGGAGACCAGGACTGTTTTTCTTGCAACGAAGTCCCTCATCCCGACTACTGAAAAATTTCTGAATTGTCTAAGAGTTTTGGGACATCAGCATTGTTCAGAGGATGATAAGAATAAAGCATCTTGTTTCCAGATTGTGGACTGAAAAAAGGCAATCATTCCCTGGAATGATTGGATTGTTTTGTATCAAAACTACCCTAAGTAATAAATTTTAACATTGCTTTCCATTTGTTTGTGTTTAAAACCATGCTGGATACAGTCACTTAGCTGCCAACTATAATTTTCTCATTGAGGAAACTACTATTAGTCTCTAGATATATGAAGCCCGTTTTGAGGAACTATTTGAAATATAATTGGGCTCCCAAGAACAGTTCTTACAATTGTTTTGGAATATTGTGGTCAATCATCTTTTGACTATTTAGTAAGTATTTTTTTAAATGTTAATTCTGAATTTTAAATGTCAATACTCAAAAGCTTGAGTCACACATCACCTCGAGCAAATGGTCACTTTGTGTACATTTTTAGTGCATGTTTATATCTAAGATCTTAGAGTATTTACAAGCTTTGAGTTATATTTTACACTGTCAAGTGGGGAAAATAACTGATGCAGTGTATGCCACTGGCAGCAAGACAAAGAATAGTATGATTTTTCAAAAAAGCTCATTATATTCCATGTGCTAGCCATGTATATTCTGTCCATGATGCTTTCTTTACCAGACCTGAATTTTACTGCTCACCATGCCTCCCTTCCAAACTCTCTCCGTGTGAGAAAGGTGTTCTTCAGGAATTGTGCACAGTTCGAACTTCAGGTGGCTTTACTTTTGTCCAAATGGTCTAAAGGAACCTTTTTTCTAAACTTTAAATTTTGTAATGGTAAAGTACTCTGTCTATAAAACTACCCAGTAAAAGTGCTGTCATGCCTCCTGTTTTCAACACTTGAGTCAGACTGGGTGACAGTTTCTCAGTCATACCACTGCTGTCATTATGCATCAGAAACTACATCATACTCCAGAATATAGGTCAATACAATACTCTGTTTTAATGTCTAACAAAGCTACCAAAGAGGAAGGAAAGGGAAAGAGAAAAACTATTTTGCAGATCAATGTCAAGGTGAACTTTAAAGCATTGTACTGTGAATGTTGAAATTCCAGTTGTTGGGTCATGTTAATTCCCTCCCCTGTGAACTGTGCCTGCTGCATTGTTCCAATGAAGCTCAACATAAGCTCTAGCCTCAACAATTTCAAATCACAACACCTGACCTGTTTTTTTTTCAGACAGTGGGTAATGATTACTTTCTTGCTGTGCCCATTTACACCGCTTCAAAACTATCTATTTTGTTTATTTCTCTCTCATATCCTTTTGGTTTGTATCAGCACTCTGCAGAGACCCTTTTGTTTGCTTCCACCATCTTACCCCCTCCCACACTCCATTTCTGTGCCTGTGTACTTGCTTAAAACCTGGGGTTTTTTTTCTTCCATTTCTCACAAATGGTCAATTTGAAACCATACCTCTATTTATCATCTTTCTATAGATTCTGCTTGACCAGCTGAGTTTCAACCATTGGCTTTTAATTTGTCTGCATTTTCCTGTCACAACTCAACTGGCATATTTTCACCGCCACCCACCCCCACCCAGCAGAAACAGTATTTTGATATGAAGTTGAACTTCATTCCCTCTCCATTATTACATGTTTGACGTCCACAAAAAAAATCTTCAGAACATTAACCAGTAATAACATGGGTACAGTGTATTTGAGAATTTAACACTCCATTACAAAGCAACCAAAATATCAAACATCAATTATCTAACAGTACCTGAAATTTGCACATATCCAACCATACTACTGAATATTTGAAAAAAGTATTATAGTATTGTTTGAATGTTCCAAATATAGGGTTGCTTTATTGAAGGAAAGTAACCTTTATTATAAAGAAGTTTGAGTTGTTTAAACATTTAAACATGATGTTGAACATGACCTAAGTTGTCTTTCATCTGTACTTTATTCTTCTATTAGTTTACTGTCTTGAAATCCATAAGAGCAAAAACATACCTCCTTTAAAAATTAGTTTAAAACAAATACAGAAAAGTAACTGGAACAGAGTTTTCACAGTTGGTTTTAGATTTCAAAGCGTTGTTCACTTAAAACAGATGCCACGTACTTCCTGCCTACATGACTTTGCTTCCTGTAAAGCTTTTCTTAACTAAAATTGATACTGTAGATATTTAAAATTCATAAATACTTGGTTTAGCACCTGATTCAGATCAGTTATGTTTGGCACTGAAGTTTTACAAGTTTCAAAATGTACAAGTTTTCATGAAATAGCACACTCTGGATTTATGGCCTGGGTATACAGAAATGCTGCCAAAAATGTATCCACCTAGCAAGTTGAGCCAAACAGAGTTCTCTGACTTCTGATGGGCATTGTCATAACATCCATTAATCTAGTGTCATTTATTCCCAAAACATTTTACATCTCGTCCTTTTTCACGTTTGCTACTTATTCATATTACAGAAATCTTACAAGATCTGCAACACAAAATGGGCCATTCAACTCAGTGTTTGTATTTATGTACCACATGAGCCTTCACCCATCCTTCCTGTCACCTCACCAACAAATTCCTCTTTTCTCCATTGAGTTTCTATTAGTGACAATGGCTTGTCTGTCATCATTTGATTTTTTACTGCAAAATGTCTAACTTCTTGTTTCACCAGATATCACTCTCAAGTTTTCCCAAATCGCCAGCTTTTCCATTTGTGGTGGCTGTTTGTATCTGAATAACTCAACTTCTTCACTATTCTGAAGGGATTGATACTGTTTTGCATTGCCAAATAAAACGTTTAACCTAAAAAGCCTTCCTGTCATTTAGACAATTATTCAGCAAATCCTTCGACATAAAAAGGAATAAAGGTTTCTGACAAATGAAAAGCAAAACTGATAAGCCCTGCCCTGATTTGCCTTTCCACAATGAACGGGAAGCTAAACTTCAGCAACACTGAGCTTTCAGCAAAACCTTACAGTATGAACCAATTAATGTAGAATTTTTGCAGCTGTAGTCACTACATTGCCTGTTTCAAATTTTCCACCATTGAGATTTTAAGAACCCGGGAGTTTTGAAACCACAGAAAGTGAAACTTGCCAGTGAGGATCAGACAATCTCCGATCTTCCAGCTTCCATTTCCCTGTCAGCAGTGTATCTAAGTTAATAGTCATTCTGAATTTCCAGCAGTTTGTTAGATATGTTATAATGTGGTAAATTATTCAATAATCTTTTTTTTTTAATTTAAAATGTTCATCCCACAAAGTAGTAACCCATTTTGGAGAAAGGTTTACTCTCCTAAGTGTCCATTGTTAACAAATGAGTTTAGATACATCAGCATCATTATGTGCTACTTAACTGTGGTGACTTGGATAAGAACATTTCTATTTTCTGTTGATTCACTTTCAAACAGAATTTCTAGAGAGTGAGCAAAGCAGGAGGTTACTTCCCCCGTGTTTCATTTTTATAAAATTTAGCAATTAAAACAAATCATGGCATCTACTGTTGTGAGTTTTAGTTTTTGATCAACTACAACGCTGAAAAAAAATGGAAACAATACACTGGCTTGAACAAAAACTGCATCAGCTGGAAACCTTAAATTGAAAGGACGAGAGCCACCAAATCTTTAGCTGAGTCAATATTTTGGGTATGACCTTTATCCAAACCGAAGCATATTATTATAGAGGAACAAAATTTTAAGGAACTCAACAAAAAGCTGGGGGGAAAAAAGAAAAGATCACTTACGAGACCTTGTGTTTGTAATATATAGAAGTGATCTGGAGGAAGATGTAGGTGGTCTGACGAGTGAGTTTGTGGATGACACCAAAATTGGTGGAGTTGCAGATAGTGAGTAGGACTGTCAAAGAATACACCAGGATACAGGTAGATTACAGAGTTGGGCAGAGAAATGGCAGATGGAGTTTAATCTGGACAAATGTGAAGTGATGCATTTTGGAAGATTAAATTCAGCTGCGAATTATAAAACAAATGGCGGAATCCTTAGGAGCATTGACATATGGAGGGATCTGTGCATAAGAGGTCCACAGATCTCTGAAAATGGCAATGGTGGACAAGATGGTCAAGAAAGCATACAGCACACTTGCCTTCGTCAGTCAGGGCACCAAATATAAAAGTTGGCAAGTTATGTTACAGCTGTACAAAACTTTAGTTAGGCCATATTTGGAATAGTGCATGCGGTTCTGGTTGCCATGCTACCAGAGGATGTGAATGCTTTGGAGAGGGTGCATAGAAGGTTTACCAGGACATCTGATCTGGAGAGTTTTATTTATGAAGAGAGGCTGGATAAACTCTTGTTATTCCAGTGAAAGAGGCGAAGAGAGCAACCTGATAGAGGTCAACAAAATTAAAAGGTATAAATAGACTGGGTGGTCAGAGGCTTATTCCCAGGTGAAGAGATCAACTGTAAGAGGGTACAGGTTCAAGATGAGAGGGAAAGTTTATTCACACACAAGATAGAACGCAATGCCAGTGCAGATGGTGGAAGCAGGCACATTAGCAACATTGAAGGCATGTCTTGATAAACACATAAACGGGAGGTGAACAGAGGGATAGAAATCACGTATGAGCAATAAGTAGCAGTCTAAATAAAGATTAGGAATCGGTGCAGGCTTGGTGGGTTGACAGGCCTGTCCCTATGCTGGATTGTACTGTGTAAGATGCTTAAATAACAATGCTATTGGCATAAGGCAATAGGAAGCTCAAGGAAGAGTGGAAATATGAAAGTCTTAAAGGATGGGATTAAGGCAAATAGAAATGGAAGTACAAAAAAAAGCAGATTAGGATCAAGTTATGATTTGAAGATGCAGACAACAGCACCAAAATATTTATGCAGTGGAGAGTCCTCAAAGAATCTCTATTTACCTAGTAATAGATGAGTGTTTATCCACCAGATTATTCAATTTAAACACTGCAGATTATTCTTTTGCTACAGATGGATGCTTTATAAAAAGGTTTTCTTTGGAATTGTTGCAGAAAATCTTTGCAAATTTGCATATGCATTGTTCACAAGTAAGTGTAGTTGAGTGTTTTACCAAAGGCAAATTTAAAGTTAGTGTATGTGAGATTGATTATATGTGCCATTCTGAAAAGGACAGTCATTTACATAGTTTGAATTTTGCTGTCTTGAACTTGTGGAAGAGAGGAATCAACGATTACGTATCTTCTTCATTTTTATCCAGAAACCTTGATCTGGCTCTCTCTAAAACATAAGTTGGATTGCGTAGCTTAATCTGGGAGGGGAAAACAAAAGCAAAATGCTTAAATCTCTGTTGCAGTAGTTACCACATTTGTAACAACAAACAATAGTTATTAAAGTTATTCATTCATCCTTCCTTGATAACATGAAGATCACTCATACTGAATGATTTATCATTTAAAATACATCTGGTTCATATTTCAAACAATCATTGTAGATAATGGAAAAAATGAAAGATTGATGAAAAGCTGTAGCTTTTTAATAGATCTGCTGAGCTGAACAATATTCAAATACAAATATATGATAAAGGAAGAAAAGAATCATTGTACACCAGAATTAGGTCCAGAAATAGGTAATAAAACCATTGTCTGGTACAGTCCAACTAAAGCTACCAACTTCTATGTCCAAAGTATAAGTTTTAAACACAGATGGAAACATTAACTTGGAATTATAATCACAGATTTCCTTAACTACAGATGGAAAAAATTCTGGAACATAGTTGCACAATTAATCATGTTACTTAGGAAACATTGTTTAACTAAACAGTCATGTTCATTCTTGTTATGACCTATTAAAATAGGGTGGTGGCTTGTCAAACAAGCTATCTACCATAGATCACTATGGTTTTCTTATGGTCTCAAATCAGTCCAGACATGTAAAATCTCAGTGGTGGAGCACAGAAGATATTTGGCCCATTGCACCAGTGCTGACTGTTTGTCAGAGCTTTCTAATAAATATAATAGACGATGTCTCCACGGTGGCTTTCCTGGCCAATGTCAAAGCAGACCTCCTGTTTCCACAGGAGTGCAAGGTACAGTACCGCAGCAGCTGCAGGAAATGGTTCTGTGGATCCACAGGCCAGCAGCTTGGTTGGGAGGTAACGATTGTGGTTCCTCTGGCCTGAATATTCTGCTGCGAGGAGGCAACTTCAGCTGCAAAATTAAAGAGGTGGTGGGCAGATGCCTCCTTGTAGCAAATATCATGTTACAGAAATGGTCCCAAGACTAATTCACAGGTATGCTCTGGTAAAGAGTGAATGTCTGTGAGTGCTTCAGCAGTTCTCACTGCTGCAGGTAACATCCAGGCTGGTCATTGTGGCTGGTGATTTCAACTGTATCATCGATGAGGCTGGATGATCTGGAGGGGCTGACAGCAAACTGGATGCCATGTCCAGATTCCTGATGGAAACAGTAACAGGTTTAGGTCGAGATTAAGTTAGGCTAGGGGCAGAAACGTGAGGTTTTGCCACAAAAACAAAGTTGCTGGAAAAGCTCAGCAGGTCTGGCAGCATCTGTGAAGAAAAGGTTTTGCCAGTGGTTTCTCATTAAAGGTGTTTTTTTCCCCAAATAAGTGTGACATTGTGATCTTTTGAGTGGGAGCCAACGTTAAATAGTTTAGGGATTTAAATCAGACAAACCAATCAAGATGTAGTCACGTATAGATTAGCCTTAAGGTTTTGTACAAGAAGATCAGTACTATTATTTATTAGCAGGATTCTTATAATAAACAAGTTTGAGTTGAGCCATGCCTGTATCCATGTGATATTGTTCCTTATAAAATTGTGAAATCCAAGAACTATTGTTAGAGGGTGGGAAACAGGAAATGAACCACTGGCACTGGAATCTCTGGCACTGAAGATTGTTGGAGACCAGACACCTAGTGAGTCCCATGCAGAAGACCTTCCTTTGTATTTGGCATTAACTGAAATGGTCAACCTGCACAGACAGGCATGGGAACATGAGGGATGCTAAAAGCCCTCACCAAACTGGAATGAAAGATTGAGGATTTAGCCCTATTTTGTCAAATGAGGGCATGTGAGCACTTGGCTATCTGCATGGAAAGTATTGTGGCTGCATGAAGACCTAAGTCGAGCAGATTTCCCAGTGGCTGCTACATATGTGCTTGGACCCGCGCTGAGTCTTCAATATTAATGGTAAGAGGTAGACAAGGCATCTCAACCTCATTCCTGGTATGCTTTCTTCTGAAGGAAACAGGGTATGATTTGCAGGCAACAAGAGCGGAGGAGGAGCAACAGATGGGCACACAAGTTTAATCTCAGGGCACTCCAGAGGTGCCTGCAATTATACCTCCCCTCTGCCAGTGACTCCATTACTGCAACTGATCAGGCTGGGGAGGGTAATCCTGCATTTGTGCATAAGACTGTTACTAATTTTGGACTCTCTTGGTCCACCAAAATCTTCACAGTAACCAAGGAGCACCAGTCTATAGCCTAACTGCAGTTAAGAGTCATAGACTAAACCAGGTAAGCATGGCAGATTTAATTCCTAAAAGGATACAAGTGAATCAAGGTGGGTTTTCCTAACAATCCACAGTGGTTACATGGTAGCCATTAAGTTAGTTTTTTATTCCAGATTTTTATTTAATTCAGATTTCACCATCTATCATGGTGGGATTCAAACATTCAAACATATCCCAGAACATTAGGCTGGGGATCTGGATTGAGTCCAGTGACATTTACACTAAGCTATACCTCCCACAAAGTAGGATAGCAATGTGTTTCAGGAAGAGAAAACAAGGGGCCTATCTAGTCTGCCTCATCTAATATCCCCTTTCTTCTCCCTACAGTAAGTCTAACATTTCGAAACCTTTTCTTATACTAGGTCTATACACTTTTTGAAACCCTGGAATTGAATTAATTATGCAGCAGTCTGTTCCAATTTTTTGATCACTGTTTGAATAAATACATTTTCATTTGTTTGTTTACTATCTGGGAACAATGATGTTGGTGTCATGACCTGCTGGTATTGAGTAGAAAACCGCTGAGTACTGTGTCTAAACTTTGGTGATAGTCTTGTATTCCTAGAGGATTCATACTAATGTATCAAATTTTTCAACTGCACGGAATTAAATCTTCAATGTAAATTTGTAACTTGAATATAAAATGTGTATAATTGTACAACTTATTTAATAAGTTAGCAGATATAGTCAGTTAATTGCAATGATTTGACAACATTGAATATGGTTGTTTAGTGGTTCTATTACTGGAGTGCTTGTAAATTGTTAATCACACTACTTCTGTTGAATTCTCTAACCATTATTTTTGATTCAATGTTTGTAGGTATTTTCTACATCAAGTGTTCAGAGATGTTAACTAAAAAAAAACTGCGGATGCTGTAAATCAGAAACAAAAACAGAAATTGCTGGAAAAGCTCAGCAGGTCTGACAGCATCTGTGAAGAGAAATCAGAGTTAACATTTCAGATCCAGTGACCCTTCCTCAGAACTGTTTAGAGATGTTATTACACATGTCTTGGACTTGAACCTGAGCTTCCCGACTCAGATATAGGCACACTGCCATCACACCGTGAGAGCTCTCACAGAGATAGGAACAGTGATATTCTGTACACCAAAATGCCCAAAAATGTTATCACACACCTCTGAAGCAGGTGGGACTTGAACCTGGGTCTCCTGGTTCAGAGATTGGGACACTTACCACATTGAGGGCTCATGGCATAGTTGGTAGAGACATTGTAATTGTTTAAATGTGGCTCAGGTGCAGAAAGAAAATGTGACAGTCTAGATTAAGTGAATAAACCTCAATTTGTTGTCAAAGTAATTTTGAGACAAACAGATACAGAAACTTCAGGCAGAGGGTAGATGCGCAGTTAAACTCAAAATTCAGAAGTTACTGTCTCGGTGGTTTTCATGATTGGAAAAACAAAATCTTGCTTTCTGGTTCTCCACAGAAATACACTGACATGAGATTACTGTATTTGCAAGGTAAATATAAACTAAATTTATCAGAGATTCTTGTCCATTTCAGTCTGAGTATCTTTTTGATAACATGGTAAATGTTAATTACACAGAAGGACATAAACAGTTGTTTTCCCTGTCTATTCAGGTGCTAGATGTGCAGTCTCTTTCACTAGGACATTATAGCTCAATTCCTGCAATATGTCTTGCAAAAAAAGTTAAAGTCCTTAATGGACAAGGACATGGCTAACTAATGGCAGATGTCAAACTCAGAAAATGCTGGAGAAACTCAGCAGGTCTGGTGTATCTGTACAGAGAGAAACCAAGTGAAGATTTTGGAATTGGAACAAAAAGTTTAAGGTTTTAAATCTTTTTTTCTCATTCCACAGATGATGCCAGACCTGCAGTTTTTCGAGCATTTTTGTTTTTGTTTCAGATGTCCAGTTTCCACAATACTTTGCCTTTATTTGGTTGCAGATATTTTTCAGTACCTCACTAATGTAAATTATGGTCTGTTACTCTTCTGCTTGTTGCTTATAATACAATTTGGCATTAATGCCTGACCTGTTTCCTTACATAACAACAGTAATTGCAGCTCAATGTAATTTTTAATATAATATGTACTTTGATATATCTTGACAATTTCTAAACAAATCCACGTCTTTCAAATATAGGGAGGTAAATCTGAAAGTTCATAAATTCACCCACTGGCATTAGTTTGTACTGCCAGTAGATAAAAATATTTAGCAGTTGTATATTTTAAAAATAATTTGTTTTCAACTTTTCCAAGGAAAATATACCAAATTGGTCTAGATTTTGCTTCACAGTTCCTATGAAAAGGTTACTTAAGAACTTAAAAATGTTATGTTAGGAATTTTACAAACTGACAATTTATTACAGAAGTTTAATAATATTGGAAGGGTTCTAATATTCTGAGTTTTGAGAACCCTAATTTAGGTAGCTTGTTCAGAAAACACCAAGAATTTCAACATATTAACTGAACCAAACATTTAGTATTCATCATTATTGGCTTTATATCAAAGAGTAACACATTTTTAATTCAACAAATCGTTATTTATTACTGTGTTGCCTTATTGTCTTCAAACTTTCATTTCATACCATATACAGTCAAAAAAAGACTGGTTACATTTAATGGCACCATTCAGAAGAATTATTATTCACCACAGATATATTTATGCGTTTTAAATATTTACATCTGCTAACGATTCCAAGCACCTCTAAATTTCAGGTATGATCAGCCCTAGTTAGACTCTTTCACCACTTAAACAGCCCTCATCTAAGTCCAAAGTAAAGAAGCACT